GATGGATCACCGCGCCCGACTCATCAAAAACGGTGGCACAGTTTTGCTCATCATTCCCGGTGCACTTGCGCAGAGTACCAGAGCTCGTGCTTGTGCATTCCGTTCCGTTGCAGGAGTAGCAGTTGACCGGCGGGGTGGACCACTTGCCGGGATAGCCGATGAATGAGCTCTTTAGATCAACCACGTTGCAGTTGTCCTTTCCGGAGCAGACGCGACAGTGCTGGCTGTCGGAGGCGTCGCAAGTGAAGTCCCGCTGGCAGCCACGATAGGTCTCTCCATCGACCAGTTTGGCGCTGCAACCCTCGTCCTCCAGGTAAACGGGACACACCTCAGCCGCATCGGGAGCGGAGGTGCAGGTGGGATCGGTGACAGAGTTGCAGCGGTGGCACCTGCGACGATCCGCTGGATAGATCTCCAAGTTGCAGCGGTCGCCCTCGCAGGTCTGGCAGTTTCCGTTTCCAGCCAGGCAGTTCTCCAGGTTCTCGCGCTCCAAGCTGCTTACACAACCGCGCTGGGTAATACCTCCACCTAAGGATATGAAAAGAAATTATTAGAATCTGGTGTCTCTTTAGTATTGTAAGCTTTTTAATGGAACTCTATTCCATTCTAGCATTTGTACTTACTGATCACCCGCATCATACAACTGGTGTAGGGCTTGATTCCGCAGTTTCCGTTCAGAGAAATCTTGCTGGGATCAGTGGCACAATTGGGATCCTCCGAAGAATCACAGGCAACACACTGTGTGGGTTCTGGAATGATGTTGAAGAAGTTGCACTCGTTTCCATCGCAGAACAGCAAATAGTGGAAATAGTCGTCCACATACTCCTCATCCAAGTCAGACCGGCAGCCCATACCACTGACGTCCCCGTCGGTCGGCTTAAACTGGATGTAACATTGATCGGCGGGACTGTATACACTGCATTCCTCGGACACCGGGTCATCACAATTCTCCCCGGAGCACTTCCAGCAGGTAAGGGGCGTTTCAGCGATTATGTCCACATTGCAGGATGGGCCAGAGCAGGCTTTGCATTGCTCATCCGCGCCAGAGCTGCAAGTGAGCTGATCCGCCTCGTCCTTGTCGTCCAGGCAGCCGCGAACGGTGTCATAGGTGATGGTATCGTCACTTCTCCTGTGCAGAGCGACCATGCATTGGCCATTGCAGAGTCGTCGGGACTTGACATTTTCCGGGTTTCGGGCACAGTCTTCGTTTTCGTAGTCGCAGTAGATGCACTCGTTGTAGTCGTTCAAGGAAGTGGCATTGTTACAGCCATTGGAGTTGCAGTTGAGGCAGTTGGCTCCATTCGCATCGCAGTAGGTGCTCCAGGTGGCCTCGACGGCCTGGCTGCATCCCTTGGAAGCTACCACACCTGCTTCATTGAACACCGTGACACAGTAGTCCGCTTCACTGGCGCAGGTTTCGGATGGGACTTCAGTGGCGGCGCAGGCTGAAGCGTCGCTGCAGCTTTGACAGCTCAAGGGCAACTCCTGGCCCCACAAGCCCGGCTGGCCGTCCTCCACCCTCTTGAGATTCGACGTGTTGCAGTCACTGCCCGAGCAGGTCTGGCACTTGCGGGGATTGCTGGAGTCGCACTCCAGGGAGGCACTGCATCCACGTTGTGTGTTGCCGGCCAAGTCAATGGTAGTTATGCACTTCTGATCACCCGTGTGGAGCAGGCAGAGGGTGGCAGAAGACGGAGAGGCTTCGCAGTTTATATCCTCGCTGGAATCGCAGATCTGGCAGCTCAATCGGTTGCTGGGTTGGAGCTATTATGAGATAATGTGTCAAACAACTATATGGGACTCTTAATAATGAGCAACGTACCTCACTGTTGCAGCTCGCACCGGTACACTTCAGGCACTTGGTGGTGTTGCCGTCCTTCAAGCAGTCCAGATAGTCCTCGCCCTCTAAACTGGTCAGACATCCTCGCTCCGTGTGGCCATCGTCCAGGATTCTGGAGTAGCAGTCGGTGTTCACTAGGCTCTGGCACGTGGTCTCCGTAATCACCTCTTGGGGATCCACGGCGCAGTCGTCATCCGTGCGGGAGCTGCAGAGCTTGCAGGTTTGGGGCTTGGGTAGGGCAGATTCCGTGTTGCAATTAGCACCAGTGCAGTACCACAACTGCTTGGTGGTTTCGAGCAGTGTGACATCGCTAACATTGTACTGAGAAAGGCATCCCATCTCGTAGATTGCTCCTGATTCGTCCACTTCGATGAAGCACTGCTCCTCCTTGTCTTCAGAGGGAACAGCTCGGCATGTCTTGGGCTGAGGGTTGCTGCAGTCGCCCTGGCAGAAGTTGCAGCTGCCCCGGACACCCAGTTCAACGGTATTGCAGTTGGCCGTGCTGCAGGAGTCACAGTTCTTCAGTTCGCCATTGGAGCAGGCTTCTCTTTCATCGTAGTCCAGATCGTCCAGGCAAGTTCTGACTAACTCCAAGGGAGCTCCCGCCTCGCTGTTCGTGGGATACAGAGCGGTGATGCACTTCTGGTTGCACTTGCGCCTATCGGTGACCAGTTCATAGTCGAAAACGCAGTTTTCATCGGTCTGGGCATCGCATGAGAGGCACTCCAGGATCTCCTCATTGTTCTTTAGCGAGTTGCAGCCGTGGGATCTGCACTGGTAGCAGTCTTCCCCGCTAGACGTGCAGGTCTCTTCCAGATTGTCGCTGCAGCCGCGTTGGATGACAGCCCCGTTGCTGTTAAAGATGGCCACACAACTTTGGGCATCGTTATCCAGGCACTTTCGCAACGCCCCCGATCCTGCTGAGCACTCTTCCAGGCCGGAACACTCGTGGCAGTTGATGGGTCCCGAATGCCATCTGTGGACATAGGCTTCTGCAAGAAAAAGGTTTCACGCGTTAGGAAAGGCTAATCTCTTGGCATAACCCAGGACTAGATAATGCTCGAAATAATTCTGTAATTAATGGCAGCGGCTTGTTACGTATTAAAGTGTTTATTGGCCGTCGTGATAATCGAAATTAACGTAATTTATGGCCCCCGATGTCCGACGGCTGATGTTACGGCATCGGGGCGATCTTTTGGCACTGCAATCAGGGCTATAAATTAATAATTGTTTTGTGGTGGCCCATAAATTGGCCAATTCAATGCCGATCGCCGGGGTTAATCTTTATGTTCCAGTACAACTGTTCCTGTGGGGAAAGGGAAAGTGACTTGGGGCACGTGTGCCGCCTCAACGGGAGCTTAGAAGCTCTACGAAATTATACATGACTACAGTACTATAGCCCCTCAAGGTTGCAGTGTATTTCCCAATCGGCAAAGTCCACTGAAAAAGCATTTAATCTTTCTCCAAATAACTAAATCCATATAAATCAAGTTCAGAGATTTCGAAACCACTCGAAAAGTGTGATTGCGCTCCCAAGTATTTCGCCATTTCAACTAGAAAACAAACCCCCCGTACTTTTGACCAGGAAGTAGGTCCAAAACAGTGCCTTTCATAACCATTACGAGTTACATTACACATTTATGTCTCATCATGAAGTAGACTTTTTATTACGCAGATAAAGCTTTAGTAGTGTCCGGGTGGAACATGAGTCACAGATTTCGGTTATATTGATGGACATGTGTTTCCTTTCAGAATGTCCGATCGGGAATAACACGCGCAGATACCATAATTCTCAAATAGATTAGATAGGTCTTTATGCAGTTTATATATTTCGATTTTATTGTTTGTAAATATATGGGTTTTTTTTGTACTTTGGGTTGTCAATTATCACTTTTTATATTTCTCTTTTCACAATTTCTAATATCTTTCACTTGGTAATCATTTCCAATAAAAGGACTATATAACCTCTTTAGGTTTTTATATCTTAGTTTTTAGCACTTGATTTGGGAGAATGGATATATCCTTGATTCTCTTTCTCGGGTACACCTACCACTTATGGAATTTGTGTTAAGCACTAGAAGTAGCAGGGCTACTCCTGTTACCGTCGATTTCATGATCACTATATGGCCACTTCTCTCCTGACACTCGCGTCCTTACGTATTAGCCACAAAAATGGATTCGGGCAACTAATTTTTAGCCGCCTGAAGTACGACCTTATATAGATTTTGTGGCTAGGCCGATCGATCGATCGATGGGTCCTATCGGGCCGTTAGATTATTGCTCTATATTATGGGTCGGGGCGATTATATTGGCGGTACGTTGTTGCCATAGCTCTCTCTGGGGCCGATAAAGCCTTTGTTATTTATAACCGATTGTGGGGAATTAACATAAAAAGGCAACTACAACTGGCCCAGATAAGCCGGCCATAATCAGGTGAAAATGGAGTCGTTTTTACACTAACCGATAACGCTTCACCTCGGCAATGGACAGCCGCAAAAATATATGTTTTCTGATCAGCGGACTCGGCCATAAAAACTGTTTGTCTAGCTGAAGTTATTGCTATTTCGAATCGCAGATTCTTATCAACCGGCCAACTGCAGTTTCACAACTACTGGCGCAGGCGAAAAAGCTAAGAAATCGATAGAATATCGGTTGGATCGATAGTTCGGGCTACATTCTTCAAGATGGCGCCCGTTTGGTGGGTGGTTGTAAATCATCAAAACTAGCCCAGAAATGGAAAACCCCAGATAGAGTCTTCACTGGAACCTAATCTCTTAAACTTTATGGCTTTTTATAGGGCAATACTGAACTTTAAGCCAATTTTATTTTAATTATGACATGAACAGGCCTCAGGAAGGTAGAGTGTGCCAATAAATAAATTAATTTGTAACCTGAATCATCGGCCAATCAACTTTCTGATGATTCAACTGGAAGCTATTGCTATTATTTGATATGGGAATACCACAGTTTTTAATAATAATTCACAATCTGTGAATTCTATATTAATAATGCTTGATCAAATGAATATAATAATTATATAAATAGGTTTCCTTATCTGCTGGATTTTCGTCATGACTTGTGACTTATCTGCAATTAATCTGTGACATAAATGCCCCGCACTCCCTACTTTGAAGGGAACATAAAACCCAAAAGATTGTAATTGATGGCGACGAGCAATTTATTGGACTATCGTAAAAATTAGTTAAACAATACTCAATCATAGATTAGCCTTTTTGGAGAAGGTCGTGGGAATTAAAGCTAAAAACCAATGCGACTTCTTGGCTTATTTATGATGAATATAAAGGCAAAGTGCCAATTGGGCCGCGATCAGCAAAATCGAAAAGTGAAACTTGTGAGCCGAACTGGGTTTGGCTGTTGTGGTTGGAATCTCCGGAGGATTAGTTGGTGGATTTGTTGGAGGATTAGTTGGCGCATTTGTTGGTGGATTAGTTGGCGAATTCGTTGTAGAAGTGGTTGTGGAGCTTGAAGAATCTGTGGTAGAGGTGGTAGTGGAGCTTGAAGAATCTGTTGTAGAAGTTGTAGTGGAGCTTGGAGAGATTGTTGGTGAACTTGTTCCCGGAGAACTAGTTGAGGAGGTGGTAATTGGGCTTTCGGTGCTCGTTGAAGAATCGTCTTCTTCAATCAGCTGATTATTGCAATGAGGCACCTCCAAGGGATCACACAAATAACAATTTCTGTTGGTTAGACAATCAACCTGATCCGAAAGAGTTAAGGAGCAACCTCTCTCCACCCTGTTAGCCTCTACTTTAGCGTAGCAGAAGCTTCTGCCAGTTCTGGCAATAGAGCATTGTTCGGCTTGTAGAGCCTCTGATGGATCAGTACATTGGGCGTCCTTAGAGATTGAAAATAAATTAAGTATTTAAATAATTTTGACTTTTGCAAGCCTACCTGGTCACTGTTACACTGCAGACATCCTGCCTGCTTGGATCCCACGTTGTTGCACTTGTCAGTAACACAGACCTCACAGTCTAATCCACTGTCCTTGCTGTTTTCTTGACATTGTGTTCTATAGTCCTCTTCCAGACTTTCCAGACATCCCTGGGATAGGATAATGCCTGCCTGGAAAACACTGACACAGACGTCCAGGCTATCTGAACACTGTTCCTCCGCCTCATAGCTGCTCCTTTGGCAGTTTACTCCTCGACAATAGATACATTTTACGGATGACAGCACGCAACTGCTTGAAAAAATCAGCAATACTAAAACTATACTTCCCATATAGTTGTGGTAGTTGTACAAGTTTGACATTGTGGAAGGAAAATGTAGCATTGGAGGGTTCGCCGCAGCTGGGCAGCTCTTTATATAAAGTCGGTTCCCTCAAGAGGACTTCTCTCTGATATTCCATAACCGATAACTAACTTGTTAATGGACCGTGTAAGTATGCACTGTAAACAAACATCTCAAGTGATTTGTTTCTGATAAGCTAGGGGAATCTCGTTAGAAGTTACATAAACAACACTGTTGTCTTTGTGGGGTCCCTTAAGCTCCTCAAGTGGCAACGAATAGTTCCTTAGGCCCAAGTAAATAAACAAGCTTAAACTCTAATGGAATTTTTTGAAAAAGGAAAAGATGGAAGGTCAAAATCCATTGCAATTCTGGTAATTCTAGTCCAGAGTATAAATCAAAACACCATGAAAACTCCAAATATGTAAGCATAAGCTTTTGCCAAGTAAGTAAAACTTTAAGGCTAAGTCAATCGTGTCCATGTCATCTTAAAATGATCAGCAAGGAATAATCTCCAAGGCTTCTTCCCAAAAATTGCAATGGTTTGTTCAAATCCAACCAGATCAACTGACCGGACCATGTCCATTATACTTAGAAATTGTTGTTGCCTTTATTTTGGAGCTTCAACTGCCAAATGTATCACCTTTCATTCTGGAAACCACTTAAAGGCTCTTCTGGAGTGCCCTCCTCAAACCCTCTGAGGAAACATGGCATTACAGGGAAATGAAGTAGTATTTGCATTGATAAAGATGTGAAGCTTTGATAACGATAATGATCAATAAAATAAAAAACAAAGTTGATTGAACTTGCATATATGTATATTTTTTAAAAATATTGTTTTAACAAATTGATTTTATTGAAGCCAATTACTTCATTTATTATGAGCCAGGACTTGTGTCCTTAAATCTCTGGTGTATAAGCTAACCGGCGAAGTGCACCACATGCCGGTTATGGCCCATGTTGGAGCATTACAAATCGTCAGGGTTGATCTTCAAGTTGCAGAGGTCGCCCGAGCAGGTCCTGCACTTTCCACGTCCGGCCAAACAGTTCTCCAGGTTCTCGCGTTCCAAGCTGCTCACGCATCCACGCTGAACATAGGTAGATCCACCTTTAAACAAGATAAAGAAACGTTGTTAGAAACTATATTTTAAAATATTAGCCATGTTTTAAGTAAGTTTGGCAGAGTTGGCACGCAAACATAAACATGTGAAAAGGAATATGGTTAAGATTTCAAAGTCATTTTGTATCTTGTAGATTACAAAAGATCGTACTTACTATATGTGCTCATAACTCGCACCATACACTTGGTGTAGGGCTTCACTCCGCAGTTTCCAATCAAGGTAATCTTGCTGGGATCAGTGGCACAGTTTGAATCCTCCCGGGAGTCGCAGGCAATGCACTTGGTTGTCGAGGGAATGATGTCAGCGGTGTTGCACTTGCTTCCGTCACAGAACTGAATGAAGTGGAAGTAGTCGTCCACAAACTCCTCATCCAAATCGGAACGGCAGCCACTGTTCTTGATATTGCCGGTGCCCTGGTAGAACTCCAGGTAGCACTGGTCATCGGAGCTGGAGCCACAGGTGACTACCTCCGGGTTGTCGCAACTGGAACCGGAGCACTTGTAGCAGGACAAGGGCGAGTTGCGGACAAAGGCATCTGGAAGGAGATATTTAGAGATTTTGTTAAGAAAATATAAAGCTAAACTAAAGCTTTCGATCCAGAGTCCTTCATCCTTTCTATAGTTCAGCACTGATCCAGTTGATTGTGTAGCAGATCTGTCCTGGAATAATCCTTTATCCTAGGTATTCAAGGATACCTACCGCTGACTGAGGACGCGCTAAGCACAAACAGCAGCAGGGCAACTCCAGCAATGGTAGACTTCATGGTTTACGGATTGTTACTTCTCTTCTGGCACTCGGATTGGTAATGATTTGAAGTGACAGAACATCGACCTTTTATACTATTTCCAGGCCAGACGTATCGATTGGTTCCAGCTGCTTTAATTAGTTTTATTCCCTCAAGAGGACTTCTCCCTGATATTCCATCATCGATAAGTAACTGGCTCGTGTATTGTACAATCTTAAATTTTCAGTGATTTTTCTCTGATTAGAGGGAATCTCTTTGGCATTTGCGTAAGCAATAATCTAGTCTGCGGTATGGCTGGGAGTGCCGATTCGATACTCAAGTGGCACTGGTCATAGCCCGCTGTCTTAGCCCAAAGTCAAGTCTGCAACGCAAATAGATTGGACAAAAGCAACATAGTACGAAGATTCCTGGAAAAATGAGTTAATATTCTGATAACTTTTTTAATGACGTTTTACAGAAAAATATTAAATTCTTATCTTTCGAAATTATTAAGTATTCGACAATATAGTTAATCGCTATTGTTATCATAGTGAAGACTATACCGGCACTTGAAGTTGTTGACATTAGACAACCAAAACAAACAGATAGTAGAAGGAAAATTATATCAATTGTGATAGTTTTCTAAGGAAGTTTTCCTAAAAAGTTATGCACAGTTTCTTATCACAAGAAGTACTAAATTATTCCACAAGTGAACATCATTATCAGTTTAAAGCATTATGGATGGCAATTCTTGCAGGTGCTAATTTATATTTAATTTCCCTGATAACCCGAAGCTTTTGGTCAAGCTTTAAAAAATCAAATAAATAAGTTATTATGTTGATTATTTTATATATACTTTATTTGTTCATACATTGTTAATAAAATTTATGGGACTAAAAATACCACAATTTCAAAATTATCTTAAGAATCGAATGAAGCGATTGCCAACTTCGGAACTCGTCTCGATATTGGCGGCATTGCAGTTCCTGATATCGCCTGGGGAGCATAACAGGCAGTTGGCGTCATTGAGGCAGGACTGCTGATCGGTCTCTGTGGTGGAACAGCCCCTCTGGATGGTGCCACTGGAGGATTTCACATAGCAGTAGGAGTTGGGCGCGGAGGGAGCAGCACAACGAGTTGCCGCCAAAGTGGCCGCATTGGAAGCGCAGTTCGAGTCCTTCGAGGGATAAGAAGATTTTAGGAAAACTATGTAGACCAAAGATATTGACTACCTACCTTGCTGGAATCGCACTGAATGCAGGCGTACTTGGAAGAACCCACGTTGTTGCAACGATCGGTGTTGCACTTGTAGCACGAGTGGCGATCATTGCACTTGGAGCGGAGTTCGTAGGGAATTTCCAATGAGCACCCCTTGAAAAGGACCTTGGCTTTAAATTTAAACACATTTTAGTTATTGTTCAAATGGATTATTTAGCTATTGCTAACCTTCATCGTAAATCGTCACACAAAAGTCAAGGGAATCCACACATGCCTGAGTTTTGTTCAGAGAACTCCGTTGGCAATTGGCGCCCTCGCAACTGTGGCAAGTGGTAATCTTGTTGGCCGCCCCATGACCCACCAGGACCATCAACACGGCCGCACCCAGCAGACTGGCAATTGTTTGGGCCTTCATTTTTGAGCTTCGACTGTCGGGCCATCGGCCAAAGCGATCGCCTTTTATACCTCCGGCTACTTGAAAAGCTCCATTCGAGGGTCCTCGAGTGCGGTTTCGACGAGTGCGTGTGAATGTGTGTGGAAATAGCCAAACACTTGACGGGGTTCTATGAAAAATCCGACAGCAGAGGGCAGTGAAGTAGTTACTTCAATTGATAAGGTACTGGACCTAAATGGCGGAACTTAAAGGGCGTTGCGAGAACCATAGTGACTCAAGTGTCTATGGGGGATTACATCAATGGGTTTATAATTTTAAATTTATCGTTTTGTTTTTAAAATACAGGGGTAAGAGTTTACGAAGCTTAATCAATATTATTGTAACTCAGGTAATACGGTTATAACTTTAAAAACATAAGTTTTAAGAACGGGCGGAGTTAAAAGGCTCAGTCATACAAATTTTAATCTTAGAAGAAAAAAAAATATATACCATTAGATAAATGTACATTTTATATAACTAGTTCTTTAATGTGTCAATATTTTTGCTATCAAAATTGTCACTAAACTTAAAAAGCAAAAGAACTCCACCATGATTGAACTGCCGGACACTTCAACCATCACATGCTGGCCCAGTCAACCAAAAACAAATAACAAACACTGGTTCCAGATAAGTTGTATAATGATTAATGCTTTAATTTTATTTTTATTTTTTAGCTTAGTTGTTAGACCATTAATTTAGAAAGCGAAGGAAGAGCAAGCCAAGGACAGCCAGGCCAAAGCTCATGACCTGTTGACCTTGGTTGGCACTCGACTTTGAATCGAGGGTCAAGTCAAAGGCATTGCAGGCCACGCCGTCGCTGGAATCGTCCGGGGAACAAAGGGAGCAGTCCTTATCGGCCAGGCAGGACTTCTGCTCCTTGACGGACAGGGAACAGCCCCGCTGCAGGTGCTCACCGACGACCTTGACGAAGCAGAAGGAGTTGGCGGAGGTGGGCAGGCCGCATTGGGTGGCGGTTAGAGAGGTAGAGGCACCCTTGTTGCAGGAGGCAGACTATGGATTGTTAACAGAATTAGTTACTAATAATATATTGAAATAATTTCTACTACCTCTGATCCCAGACACTGAATGCATTTAAAGTCCTTGCGTCCTTTGTTGTTGCACAACTGGCCACTGCACTTCAGGCATTGGTTGTCCTTGGCTTCGCATTTTGCCTGACCGGCCAGGGATATCTGGGAGAGGCAGCCCCGCTCGCTGACAGCATCTAAGAATAGGAAGTTTAAACTAGAATTCTTGGAAAACTATTAAGCATAAATTATAGCTAACAATCCTCGAAGATGGTCACACAAACGTCCAGTTTATCCGTGCAACTGGCAGTCGCATTTTGGAGCGTGGTCCTCAGACAGTTTATTCCCTCGCAACTGTAGCACTTTGGTAGCTCCACGGCGTTTTGAACTTCTGGGGATACATCCGCCGATACTTGCCGACCAGCTACCAGCAAAATAAAAGCCAAACCAATGCGCCACATTTTGAAAGAACCTCAAACTCTGACCAACCGATTCGAACTGAAACTATGTCGGAACTTATTGTGAAAAGCTTTGTTTTGCGGCACTTGAGAAAACTCACGTTAATCAGACGACCAAATTGATAAAAGCCATTACAATGCACTACACTCGAGATGTTCCCCCATAGATTAGTCTTTTTGCTTAAACTTATATCACGGAATATTTGTTTTGTTTTCTTGGCTATTAGGGAATCTTATCTGAGGCTTATAGACTATGTAAGCAAAATATCATGAATCACACTCTTTGATATTCTTTTAATTAACAAATATTTATTAACATTGCTTTGATTTTTATTAGAAGAATTTATTGGCTGTTTTTTGGCTAAACCTTATCTGGAAACGGTGACTTCCCTATACCGGGACAGGCCATTGAATTGCCGATTGTCGGTCATTTGATAATTTATTTTCACCCGACTTATCTGGAACTTATCGACTCTCGACCGGTATGACTTATGGCCATTATTTTTATGACAGACAGGCTTATAATCTAAGTGTTCTAAGATAATAATTGAGTAGGAATTCTCATTGTTTTATGACCTCGGTGCTTTCTATTTGCTATTGATATTGCTTCAATTCAAGATTTCCTGTTCCAGCTTTAAGGACGAGGTCAGACCTGCTTGGCCACAAAAAATTAAAGTCCAACCGGACTATTTGCATACATTTACAACAGATTTTCCCCCAGCAAACCGACACGAGGCGATTACGTTACAAAATCCGGAAAAGCGGAGAGGGCGGGCCTGATGGGCGGAAAAGCCCCGACGAAATGGAAAAGGAAACGAAAATAATACAGAAACATAACAAAGAAATATGCAAAGCAGATGAATTGGGGATAAAAAATGCGTGAAGGAAAATGAAAATGCAGGAAAACGGAAAAACTGAAATTGTTACAAGCAAAAAAAAATTGGGGCTTACAGAAGGGGAGCTCGGGTCGAAGAAAAACTTTTTAGCCTTGGTAATGGGGGAAAGTCCAAATGACACAAATGAAAATGAGAGTGGAAAGATTTTGGGAAGGTGGGACTTGTGTGTGGCAGGTTCGTAAGTAAATCCACTTAAAAGTAAATAAAAACCGAAACAAGAAATTAGGAACAGGATAAAGTCTACAGGCAACAGGTGCTCCTCGGGTGTCAGTACTTGGATCACCTTTAATCAAGCAGAGAGTATAAAAACATTTTGGCAAACAAGCATTTGCCCAGATTTTGAAGGGGTCCCATGGGATCAAATTTGGATCAAGGTTTTGATGCAAAAAGGTGTAGGATCGACCCACGATTCGATTGATGTATTCCTCTCAAGAATCGGATCAAAATTGGCAAAGATATAGACATCGCTGTGGGTCGTATTTTGGCAAAAAGCATTTTCCCAGATTTTGAAGGGGTACCATGGGAAAATTGAAAAAAAATCGCTCAAAAAATTTGGATCCAGGTTTCCAGGACATCGCTGTGGGTCGTATTTTAGCAAAAAGCATTTTCCCAGATTTTGAAAGTCCCATGGAAAAATTGAAAAAAAATCGATCAAAAAATTTGGATCCAGGTTTTGAGAACCTGATTCCTCTCAAGAATCGGATCAAAATTGACAAAGATATAGACATCGCTGTGGGTCGTATTTTGGCAAACAAGCATTTTCCCAGATTTTGAAGGGGTCCCATGGAAAAATTGGAAAAAAAATCGATCAAAAAATTTGGATCAAGGTTTTGATGCAGAATGGTGTAGGATCGATCCACGATTCGATTAATGTATTCCTCTCAAGAATCGGATCAAAATTGGCAAAGATATAGACATTTCTGTGGGTCGTATTTTGGCAAACAAGCATTTGCCCAGATTTTGAAGAGGTCCCATGGAAAAATTGAAAAAAAATCGATCAAAAAATTTGGATCAAGGTTTTGAGGCAGAATGGTGTAGGATCGATCCACGATTCGATTAATGTATTCCTCTCAAGAATCGGATCAAAATTGACAAAGATACAGACATCGCTGTGGGTCGTATTTTGGCGATCAAGCATTTGCCCAGATTTTGAAGGGGTCCCATGGAAAAATTGAAAAAAAATCGATCAAAAAATTTGGATCCAGGTTTTGATGCAGAATGGTGTAGGATCGATCCACGATACGATTAATGTATTCCTCTCAAGAATCGGATCAAAATTGGCAAAGATATAGACATCGCTGTGGGTCGTATTTTGGCAATCAAGCTCTTGCCCAGATTTTGAAGGAGTCCCATGGAAAAATTGAAAAAAAATCGATCAAAAAATTTGGATCAAGGTTTTGATGCAGAATGGTGTAGGATTGATCCACGATTCGATTAATGTATTCCTCTCAAGAATCGGATTAAAATTGGCAAAGATACAGACATCGCTGTGGGTCGTATTTTGGCAAACAAGCATTTGCCCAAATTTTGAAGGGGTCCCATGAAAAAATTGAGGAAATATCGATTCAAAAACTTGGATCGAGGTTTTGATGCAGTTTGGAGAACTGCTCTAGAACAAATCTTTTAAGATGAATCGCATGAGAATAGACAGACTTAAGGCATCCGCTTTGTGTCTCCTGTACCCCCTTTCGTAACAATATATTTTAGTATAACCATTCTTTTAGGCTAGTGTTTCTTTAATATCCTTTTTTAATGGGTTTCCTTGTGAAGAATCCCTTTGGTCCTCCATCCACCACGTCGTTTCGCTCCTGGCACTTCACCCGCTCCAACCTGGCCATGCTAAGGAAGCCCTTGCCACCGCTTACCACAAAGTTGAACTCATCTAGGCCGGCGCAGGCGGCGGCGTAAGTGCCCCACCGATTGACCACAATTACGGCTCCATTGAACTCTGTGTTGTACTTAAGGACTCTTTGGATCACGTTTGCGGCTGACTGGGCCGGACTCCGGCCTGCTCTCATGGCCTCTACGGCGAGGAAGGCGGGCAGGTGGCGCATTAGGACATCTCCGTCCCCGCTGGCTACCGCCCCGCCTACCTCGTTGTCAGCATAGATGCCGGCTCCCGGCACTGCCGAGTCCCCAACCCTTCCCCGGATCCGGAAACGGGCGCCACTCGAGTGACTGGCCACGTGGAAGAGGCCCTCGGAGTCCAGAGCCAGGAAGGCTACCTGATCGTGATCGCCCTGAGTGATGGGGTACTCCTGCCGCATCGGACGCTGGAGAAGGTGCTCCGGCAGGGGGGTGTAGGGCCCGCACTGGGTTCTGGGCGGAGGGTGGACGTCGCGCCAGAAGTTCGGCTGACAGCTGCCAAGATTCCAGCTGCCTACGACTTTATTGGTGTTGTGATTAGGAGCGTGCTCCACTTTGTAGCCCATGGACCGGGCAAAGTCGCTGGCGCCTCGACCCACCAAGAGATTGTGGTGGGTGTTTCGGAGTACAGCGTCCGCCACGAGAATGGCGTTCCGGATACCCTCCATTCCGGCCACAGCTCCAAATTCCTGATTTCTTCCATCCATGATGGCAGCTTCCAGGCTAAGAGTGCCCCGCTCATCCGGGCCATAGTGTCCGCCCAAAAGGCGGCCGCAGCGCGGACTTTGGCAAGCCATGCAGCCCTGGATCACCGCCTGGCGGGTCCGTCGTGGACCCTGTTTGAGAACGCTCCAGGCCTGGAGATTGGCGTCCGTGTAGTTCCAGGTGCTGACCAGAACGGAATGTATCTTCTGGGACTGTTTGTGTTTGAGATGTCGTCCGAGGCCATAATGTCTCAGGAGGAGTAGCTGAAGGATCAGCAGACAAAGTGGTGAGTACATGTCCCTTGGACCACTGAAACATGACTGAAACGTTTTCCGAAGATTTCCAGGTATTCGTCCAAGCAGAGGTTTTATAGGAATTAGTCAGCAGACCTCCATTAGCCGAATGTTCTTATCAATCCCCTAAACACTTTAAGGGTACCCTTTGCGAGAAAACGTTTGTTTGCTTTGAAAACTATTTAAACTTCCTTAATGTCTGTGCACCAAAACAGACTTTAAGTCCCTTTAAGACTTCGCACAGCCACAGATACATTTTGGTTTATTTACTACAAACAATTTGCAAGTACTTATCCCATTCGAGCATTGTCAACAAGAAACGTATCTGGCAGACGGGCTCACAAGATACAATATTTGTTATGCATCGAACTTTGCCCATGAATATATACTTTATGGATGTTTTATTTGCTTGGTTTTGTGTGTGAATATCTGATCAAAACAAAACTTGATGGAGTTGGGAAGGGGCAGGTCCTGGGTGCCAGAGGTCCTGAGAAAATTGCCACCCATTTTAGGGGGCTAGCATAGTGTGCTACAGTGCTATAAAAAAAGCTCTTTAGGATTTAAGGAAGTTATGTATTAAATATTGAAAAAACCATTAGAAACCCTAAGAAGCAGGAACTTATATGTATCTTTATATAAGAATAACCATTTTTTGAGCCATATTATTAATAAATATTTTTCTCCATGTAGACCACTTATGAAAAATGCCGTTTTGCTCACAATTGACTTCAATCATTTTGGCCATATGTATTGACTGCTGATTGATTGATGAAGCCCAGCGGCCTGGTTAGTTTTTGGGCCCGAAATTGCATAAATCCTCGGTGTCCAGCCTTTCAATTTCCTTTGGGGCCCACGTCCTGGTGGCCTGCCCTCTCCCTCTAACCGACTATGCCCCTCTCTGTCCGACAAGCTCCCACTCTCCCTGTCTATTTCCCTTCGCGCCTGTAATTGCGTTTATTGTGCGTTTGAGATTTGTAATTCGCAGTCTGCGCCTCTGTATCTGAACCTATATCTGTAGCTGTGTATCTGTAGGATTGGGCGTTTGTATCCGTAACTATGGTGCGGCGTGTGGGTTTCGGTTTTGGTCGTGTTGATTGAAAATGGCTTAAGTAATCGACAGTTGATTGGCTGATTTGATTGCTGGTGCTGTAGTCTGGTTGTCGCTGAATATTGTTCGACATTGGATTGAGTTTTGGCATTTGCGATTTGTGGAATTTGGCTGTGTGTGGGAAGAGCCGTAAATGCGGTAACCGGATGTAAAGGGCTTGGAAGTTCTACCATCAACTGTTTAATTATATACACATTAATTCAGGGCATCCATTTGGCTTGTAAACTCTTATCTTTGAGTCGGTTTCTTTGGCCGCAAACTACTTTCAAAAATTAAGAGATTGACAACCGGCGGTGCTTTCACTTGGTTTTCCTCGCTCTCCAGCCCTCCAACTTTTCTATGTCAGGTGCAATCTTTGAGGCTGAACCCTGACCCAGATACCCCGACCCTTAGCCCTCAACCCACAACCCCATCGTCTGCTGCGGCTCTTGAGGTCCTAAATAAGCTGACTGCCAGCCTGCCGCCCAGCCTGCCCGGCCTGGCTACAAACATTTTTGCGCCTGGACGCAGCCACGAGCACCACTTTGTGCCGGGCGGGTTAGTGGGTGGGTGGCGTTTCTGGTGGCTGTGTGAAGCAAAACGTAAATAACACGTTCAAGCCAAAGCCAGAGCGCCAGAGCCAAAGGCAAACAAACAAAACTGCCAGGGGGTGCAGAAGAGTAGACTCTGGAGGAGCCAACCGAGCCAAAGAAACGTAAATGCCGCAAAATGGCGCAAAAGAAAATCCACTTTTTCCAGTAAAAAAGTTCTTCACATTATTTGTTGTTGTTGTTGTTGATGTATGTGCTCCTCCTTAGTGCCTCTTACCTGTAACCTGTAGTTTCCTTTCACCTGTTACGGTTGCCTTTGCCGAAAAGCCACGATTAGATGACCTGAAAAGGCTTCCACTCTCAAATTTTGAATAGAAACTATAGAACAAGTTACTAAAAAGTAGACATACCTCCCATGCTTCCCATTTGATGCAATCACTGACAAGTAGACAGTAGACAAGTATAATAAGCTAAACTAAACCAGTTCCCCGGGACACCCAAAGAGAGATGGTTTCTGGTTTTTTTCTAGTCAGTTGTCAGACCCTTGGGTGGGCAATTTTGAGCAGAACGCGACATCGGGCAATCAAAACTGCCATGATTAATGTCAGCACAATTGACATAAAGCATTGGCCATGGCCGAGAGACTAGCCAGCCAGGCATCGAGGCATTCGGGCCAACTGGAAAAACTCGAAATGCAGGAGGCAGACCCGAACCTAACCGGAGGATGCAATTATTGATGGATTATTTACTGTCAGCACTGTCCGTTATGACAATGAGATATGGCCACGGGCGGGCTGCGAACGTCGTCTGGAGAATGTCTGCAGCCAGTGACACCGACTAGACCGAAGTTTTCTGCCCTCGAGCCATGGAGTTTTCCTCCATTTGGTTGCCATCTCCATCGCTTCTCACTGACTTGGCAATTTACGGCCCGCAATTATCCGGCCGGAGTGAGTGGCATTAGTATTCAATATATACTCAATATTCGCCAGCCAGCATTGCATTGATGCATTAATTGCGCTTAATCACCTTTCATATAAATAAGAAGGAACTGGGAGTGGAACACCCAGAAGTCTCAGGACGGAAGTCAAAGAAAGAGGATGCACAGAAAAATAAGTCTTACTGATTACCAAAGAAATAGTGCTTGAAATAGCCTTGAGAATTGTTTTATAACCAACCTTTTATTTCCGTGTAGCTACGCCTTCACTCATTTACATATTTCGTGTAATTATGCGTGGAAATTACAACGGGAGCGATGGCAATCATCGTCATCCTTCTCACAATCCATCGCATAACTTCTTGTCATGGCCCTGAGACTTGGGCTGCCAGTCGGACGCAGACATTTGCCGTTAATTATGTTGACAGCATTGACAGCCGCCGCCGATTGGGAACGGGAACGGAACCCCGATTCAGAATAAGAATGAGTATATATGTATATATGGGGATATATGTACATAGGAATCTTGTGGGGGGGGCGACCACCGGCCAAGTTGTGTCAATCGGTAAACGTTTAATCGCCTTGAATTGATAATAACCAAACTGCCCATTATGACCACGTTGATGTGCCGTCTAATGGATAATTTGTGTTTCGGCCGGCTTTTGATTTCGGCGCTCAATCACATTTCGAATGCAAAACGTCAAATCGCAGCGGAAATGAAGACCAAAAAGTTGTTCATCGACTTGAGCAATCTCCATAAATTTGTTGGGAAATTGTTGGAAAATCAAGGGGACAGGTTCAAAATTAGGTTGAAGCCAAAATTATGTTTATTCTGTAAAAAAAAATTATTAAAAGAAAATGAAAAAAAAATGTACTTGTGCGTCGGCCGGGAATCGAACCCGGATCAACTGCTTGGAAGGCAACTATGCTGACCATTACACCACCGACGCCCCTTGAATCGAGCGAGAGAATAACCCTTCCCAACATAACTCAGATAAGAAAGTACGAGCAAAGAGTGCGAGTGATAACAAAAGCTAAAGGGGGGACGAGCACTATAAGCTTTATCTCTCTTAAGGGGGGAAATACAATTAAAAGGCCCAAAATGAGGCCTATCTTTGGGAGTGAATTGCAAGTAGGGAATTGAATAAATCTTAGCGATTCTTTTTGCATGTTATTAGGAAATTATTGGGCAATGAAAATAGGTCAAGTTTTTCGAAAAATATTGTAATTAAGCCCATTTATGATCAATAATATGGAGTCGTGTTTTGGGGGATAAACTTTGCGCCGTGCAGTCCCCAGGCCCAGGATCACGTCTAAAACAAAAAACAGCAACTGGGCATTAAACTTAGAGGTACAGCGCACAACATGAATTATTTCATATGTAAAAAAATGGTTTTTCCATTAAAAAATTTGAAATTGAAAAAAATGTTTAAAAAAACACACTTTTTTTCGACTTTGTTCGTCAAAAAAACATGTTATAACAAATAAATATGAAAAATCATTTCATTCATGTTGTGGAGAATTTCATTTTAAACATAAAGCAAAAAACCGCATTCGATTGAAATGAAATCTCTGACCTGTACATTGCACGGCGACTTTGAAAACACGACTTTTCAGTAGAAGCGTTTAAAGTTTACCACTCACTAAAGTTTGCCACTGACACGCACTCACTAAATTGCGTATTACTTTGAAAATAAGTACCGGACAGCTTTATGCTTTTAAAGGCTTATTCCCAGACATATTTAGAGTACATTACGACAAAAAAAAATTTTTCGAAAAAAATCAATTTTTAATTGTATATCCCCCCTTAAAGCAGCAATTAAATTTAATCTTTTGTTTTGGGCTTTGAACTTCAGCCCGAAAAGTAAACCAGCCAGTTTATAAATTTTAATTACTTATTGGCTTACGTCTGTATTAAAATAGTACTAGAAATAAATGAATATTATTAAAATTATTATTAACTTTTAATAGTTTATTCATAGGGAAGACGTATCACCTTTTCTTTTAGTTTAGTAAAGAATTTTTAAAAGCCTTATATTTAGTCAGAAAAGTTTGGAACTTCTAAAATCACACTATAAGGAACCTTTGTTAGAATTTCGAAACTAAAAAAGGATCCACCTAATAGTAAGCTTTTCCTGATTTTTAAAAAGTGCGCCAAAAGTGCATTGGATCCTCCTTATTTCAAAGGAGTAGTATTGGAAAGTCCCAACCTCCCGTGGTGACTTAGGAACGTTGAAATTAAAACAAGAAAAATCTGGCAGCACGCGATCGGACTTTACGTTTCTTAAGCTTATTTACTATTAAAACGTGTTAAAATTATTATTAATACTTATTTTTTAGTATTCAGCTTACTATAAGAATCGGTAAGTGCAGAATAATATTTTTAAGCCAACTTGATGAGTAACTCCTGAATATTTAGGAAAATTACAAT